GGTTCTGCACAGTATCTTAGCGGTTCCTAGCACTGCGCTCTTCTGGACAGAGAGCTCTGATGTTGTTCCTGGGATCTGTTGGAGCCACTCTCCCAGCTTAAGAGTCACAGCCCTGAGTGCTCCTACCACAGTGCTCCTACCACCACTGGGGCCACTTTGGCCTTTACTTTCCACAGTATATGTTTCATATATGTCTCATCATGAGTGAGACATACACACACACACAATACAAACATTCATTCATTCATTTATTCCCCAGAGGCTTTGTTAGAAAAAAGTGAGGGCTGGTACAACTCAGTACTTTGGAACCATGTCCGTCTGCCCAGAAAAAAAATTGCAAAAGGAAGATGAAGTAGTACAGATTACCACTGGGCCAAAAAGTTTTGGGACCCTATCATGGGGTTTTCTTTCTTATGAAAGAAAGAAATTTATTGGAACCTGGACCATTTGAAGTTTTATCTTTTTGTGCCAGTTACTTGGTCCCATCCCACTGTTACAAAACAACAGAAGTGAAGAGTCATCAGCTTGCAGAAAACTGTTTTGTTTTTCATCTACTTACTGGACTTGGCCCTTGAATTAAGTTTGATTTCTGATTACATGGATACATCCATGCAATTTTCTCAGCAGTAGTACAGAAGTGGTTTGACACTCCCAGGACTTTTTTTTTTACTTCCAAATTAGCCGACAGGTCTGGAATTCCACATTGTTCTCCTATCCAAATACTAACCAGGCCTGAGTTTGCTTAGGTTCCAGACTTAGACAAAATCATTTAAATCTGCCACCTGCTCAAATCTTACTGGACTATAATACAAAAGAATAGGTGAAGGAGCGGGGACCCAAAGTTAAAGAACAGGATGTCCATTAACACATGATCAGTCCAGATACACGTTTTCATATTAGGAGCCACAATTCTTTATAGGAATATCTATCCCAGATTTTTTTTAATGATGATGGGATTGTTGAAGTATTATAAGAGTCAAATATTTTGCCAAACCATGCAGACCTTACAAATATCTTGCAGTGTATCCTAATTTATATTCCAGGCTGAGTTGTTCTGTACTTGCAAAAATGATACAGAAAGCATCATATGTACCTAAAAGGTTTTAGGGAACCCCAGTCTTCTCAGGGAGGGTATGCTGCGGATCCCATCGATGAAAGATTGTCGACTGGCGGGACCCAGAAAGAGAGACTTCTCTGTCGTGGCCCCTGCCCTATGGAATACTCTCCCCCAGAGGCGAGGCAGGTCCCAACTCTCTTCTCCTTCCGGAAAGCAGTCAAGACCTGGCTTTGCCAACTGGCATGGGGCACATAAGAGGGCAACCAACCCTGGGGGTGGCTAGCACCTTGAAGATGCTCTCATATGTTAACATCTTACTGACCATCAACATCTTGAAAGATATTATTTGTTTATGTGGTTGGTTTTTATTCTATTTTTATTGTATTTTATATTGTTTTATTGTATTTTAATATTTATTGCTGTTTTATTTTGAACCGCCCAGAGTCACTTTTTGTGAGATGGGCAGTATCTAAATTTGAAATATAAATAAATAAATAATTCCTTTTTACACCTTTTGTTCATTCATAGCACATGTAATTGAAAGAACTATTCATATTGAATTTGTGTTGATTAGTTCTCTTTTATAGCACAGAGAAAACATAAGGTATGTTGCCTGGTGTTCTTTGATATTATCCTTAGTTCCTGACTAAGGGGCAAGGACTTATCTGATCACAAAGCACTCTTCCTGTGAGAAATGAACCATCTGAGTTTATCTTGGCATTCTTTTTCCCATTTGTTTACAGGGACCATATTTATACTGTTGATATGGATTCATCACATACCGAAGAGATTTATTTTAGCAAAGTAAGTAGTTTCTGCTATTCACAAGTCAAGGACACTCAAAATAAAAAAGCAGAAGATAAATCAGAAAAAAATACCTTGTTCCTCAGGTTTTCCAGACCTGCTTTCAAAACTGCAGTGATCATGTAAGAGGATGTATATTAATCATATAAGCAAAGTGCATACATTTGCCATTTTCATTATGAATTTTGGATTAATAATTTAGCTGAGATCACAGGCAAGTTTCTTATATTGAAATAGGGGCATTAGATAAACTCTATTTAAATACTTTAATGATCACATGTTTATAAGGAATTAAGTAGATAGATAGACATTTAGATACTAAACAAAATGATCTTATTATTTCTATAATTCTTCCTCAAGACTACAGATACTACATCAGAGATAAACTAAGAAGGAAACCATAACATTTTTTTTCTGTTAGTATGCTGCATTAAATACTGTATTCCAAAACTGATAGGATATGTACATGTGCCATAGTTAGGGAAAGGTTAAGAAAACCCCTCATTTCAGTACTTGAACACTTCTTAGTATCCTAGATGTGATCTATTACATCATATTCAAGATAGATGCTACAGCTAAAACTAAGGGTAAAATGACACAGCTGAGGGGAAGAAGGATGATGCAATATCACTGAAAAATATTTAATTGCAAAAATTGCTTAACCACTGAATTATAGATCTGGGTGGAAATACTGTCCAGAAGCTTAATATAACTGTTGGCTCTAATGGCATTTTATACATCATTTGTTCAGCATTATTACATCAAGCTACTCAGACTGTGTATCTATAAATGGCTCCAGTTTTCAATATTTCTCTCTCACTTAAAAGCAAGTAACATAAAACTTGTGCTCATGAGCTAAAATCGAGCACAGCAATAAATAAGCCAGGCTGAAATTTATTTTCAGGCATAATAGTATACAAAATCTGAGTGATTTTTAAAGCCAACCAGCAAAATTGAAAAAAAAAAGTTTTGCAATGGATTCTGATTGAAAAATGCATGAGTAAAACAGTGGAAAAAGTCTTCTAACATTGCTTTGCTTGCTTGGCCAGGAATGCATATCTTTGTGAGAAGTTAAATCTGTATAGAATATTGTATCTGCTATTTCTATTCCCCATTTTTTGTGGGAACTGGGGCCAAGGACTGTGTAAGATAAATGTTAAAACTTATTGTAAATTTGTGATAGTCCTTTGCATTGAAATGTGTCATTGCTGAAAATCAGAGCAGTATATGAAATGTTCAGTTTAACTGAGATTCAGATACTGCTCTGTTTTTTCAGTGACAACTGGCAAGGGTATACATTTCTTGACTAAGATGGCAAAACACCATCGGTAGATACTTTTTGATCCAATTCTTAATTATTTTTTCTCATTCAGAATCCATTGACAAACAGTCTGTTGCAATTTTGTCTAGGGGCATGAAATTTTTGACTCATTATTAGAGTTCCACAGAACTCTCTTTATAGGTGAAATCTACTGAAAGTGCCTTAGGCAGAGCAAAACCATTGGCCTTCTAGGTTAGGACCATTTATAATGACTAGCAATGGCTCCGTGGTCTTTCCAACCCTACCTGTGAATGTGGGTTTTTTTCACATGCAAAGTTGTTCTCTGGCACTCATATCAGAACCTGTTAGACTGTGTTCCAGTTTTGAATTAGCAGATAACTTAGATCAGATTTCTTTGTTCCTTTAGAATGAGCTCAAATAACGTGCTGGCACAACTTTGAATCAGTGAAGAGCCTTTCTAACTCAGTAGTGTTTATTTCACTAAATACTTTATTTGACTAAATATTACTTCAAAACAACAGGAAATATTTTATCTATGTGAATGAATTCCCCACTGTATGTTTTAATTTTTGTTAAAACAAAATAGAGAATAATATGTCTATATGTGTATGTCTGTATATTTATCTCTGTATATATGTGTGTGTGTATGTGTGTGTGTACACATGCACGCGTACACACAGATCTGTACAGACATATGCATATAAACATACACATTTCTGCCTCTCTCTGACTCTCCAAATATTCACACATATACACAGTTGATTCCAACAGATAAAAACAAACAGCATGTATCAATTCGTAATATTTCCCTGTTAGCCAATTTCTTATTTTCATTTAAGAAAATGATATCTAATTAGAGATTACTAAATAGCAGTCAAATCTAAGTAGCTGTTCAACATCCATGAGGCTCCTGTGCTAGAGTAAATCAAGCACAGAACAAGTATAGAATGTTTTTGATAAGTTTATAATCCAGCAGCTAGTTTTCCTGGGGGGCTCTTTCTTTTGAAATTAAACCCAACCACCCTTGGGCTCTAATTGATTTCTTTCTTGATCCTTGCAGAAATTGACATGGAAATCCAGACAGCTTGATGTAGACACATGCAGAATGAAGGGAAAACATAAGGTAGGCAATTTCCATTTCTCTAGCAGCTGCCACTTTTGTTCAGTTTCTTGACTGTTATCTTACACCACTCTGTGATGCAGATTGGATCATGCCGTTCATTTCTTAGCTAGTCATTGCTTTTTCCCAACAGTTTACTGAAGGTTTTAATTTGCAAGAAATAGTTTACTTCTAATGTAATGAAACATTATGACAAAAGAAAGCGCAATATTGTGAAATGCAGAAGGGATTAGAATCTGCAGGAATATACTCCTGCTCATTTTCCACTGGGAACTGACATAATACTGGGTCTTTATAGGAGATAAACAAATCATCTTAGGAAAATGTTTTAGCAATGTAAAATATAATTAACTATGAATAACTCTAGATTAGATGTAGTTTCTGGGCTTTTCTTTTTCACTCTACCTAGAGATTATTAGGTAGGACATGGGACAGGATGTTCAAGAACTGTCAGTCATGCTCTTATCATCTCCTGATTAGATTACTGTATTTCACCCTACATGGGTCTGTCCTTGAAGGCCATCACAAAACTTCATATGGTACAGAATGCAGCTGCCTACACATGCTTACGGACTGGTCCCAGAATTGCTGTGTCACACTGCTACTGCAAGAGCTGCACTGGTTGCCAGTGTGTTTCTGAGTGCAATTCAGGGGGCTGGTTGCTACTTTTAAAGTCCTATATGGCTTAGGGCCTGGGTAACAGAGAGATTGCCTTTCCCATGTAGACTCAGTATCTGCAAAAGAGATCCTGCCTAACGGGGGTGTAGCAGGAAAGGGCCCAATAGAGAGCATTTTCTGTGGCATTTCCCCTCCTCTGGAACAGTCTCCCCTCTTAGTTTTAATGATTGAATGTGTAAGCTGCCTAGGACCCATTAGTGTATAAACTGCATAAATACATACTGAGGTCCTATTCTTGATTCATGACTATCATTAAAGTATATTTTGTTTAATAAACAGCAGCAGAAAAAGACAAGCATAATCCCTCAATCCCTGACAGCCAAAGCCAAGTTGCTTTAACACCACTAGCAGGAAATCCATTGCTACCTTGCTTTTCAAAAGGCAGGGAAATTTGCTGAAACAAACAAATTGGTATAGTTTATTTAATTGTATCAAACATTTATGATGTTAATTGCTGAAACAGTATTTCAGTTCTTTTCCTTTTTTTTAATCCTTTTGGCAGGATGAATGTCATAACTTTATTAAAGTTCTTCTAAAACGAAATGATGATACATTATTTATTTGTGGGACAAATGCCTTCAGTCCTTCCTGCAGGAATTATAAGGTAGGCATTGCATTTATAAGAGAGTATAAGTAATTGGAGAGATTTTGCCATTAGTTTTCATAATGGCAAGACAGCCAGAAAGCACTGATATCCCCGAAACTGTGTTCAGTGAAATTCCTACTCCCTCAGAATGTTGTTTCTTCAACTAGTTAGTACAGAGAAAGTCACACAAGACTTTGTAAGGTTGCTGTAGTGGAACTACTCCCAGTCTGAGCCATTGCTTTCATGCACTGCAGGGTTGAGGAAGTTTCAGCTCATGGAGAGGACCCTCCAATATAGAAAGGAAGGAAAAGGGGTGTGCTTGCATGGAACTTGATATATAAATGTTTGATCCTGAACTGAAAGGAAAGTTACTGCCTGAAGGAATTGAAAAACTTTTCACAATCCTTTTGGAGTCTGTATTTAATGCAGTATAACCCAGATCATGTTTGGTTGTCTCATAAAACATAATATTGCAATTTAGTACACTCAGGTTATTTCTCTGGTTGCTGCTAATTAAAATGCAGAGACCTAAAAGTAGATGCCTGGAGCAAAGGATCTGCAGTTAACCCAAACATATGGAAGTAGGAGGCTAATTGTGGCTTTATGCCCAGCCCAGCAGTCATGCACATAGCCAACAGAGAAGACAGTGTAACAGGAAATTGGCTTGTTCAAAAGTGAAGAAGTCAGTACTCATCAGCAATCCTGGTCAGTTATCCAAATTTGTTCATAATAAAGCCAGCCACTTTCCTCTTCAGAGAATAATACTTTCTCACAACACAAATAAAATTCTCTTCTGTTACTGCCTCTTATTATTTAATCTCAGCTTTTCAAGTATTGAATTAATTCTTCCTTCACTTATAACAAGTGATGGATTGAGGCTGTTTCCAGGATCAGGCTCCTAGAGATCACCCAGTTCAGTATTTGAGAAATTAAAAAAAACACACTGTTTAAAACATTTCAGATTCTAAAGAAAAGCCTATAGCCTGTCTCCGTAGAGTAAGAAGCTTGAATATCATAACAGTGAACTCAGCTGGTGAATACAAAAAGGATTACAATCAGAATGGGGTAACCATAGAAACCCCATGGTTTGCAAAAAAATTTTTAAAAATTTTTTAAAAAAACTCAGGGATTAACTCCCAAATTAATCTACTAAGGAGTGAGTATACTGAGCATTCAATGGCCACATAATACTGATTGTCAGGGAGGGAGGCAGGAAATAAGCATGGTGATAAAAGACAGAATAGTTTGTTCATATGGCATAACATATTTCTTTATTCTTGTTTACTAATTCTCTTAATCATTAACTAATACTCTTTTCTAAAATCACATAAATAATGCTTATACAATTAATGTTAGGCCTCAGATTCTTAAAAATGTGAAGTAAAATCCTGAAAGAAAAGTGCAGGCTATTCCTAGAAGTGATTTTACATTATCCTCTGTGTCCTCTGAAAAATACATCTTGGGTGAGCCTGAAATTAGAATCTAGGCTGACTGTCAGTGCAGCTGAATATTGTGATAATCAGGCATTACACATTCTACCAATAGAAGAGAATATCTGTAGCTCAGGGTTGAACTGTGGAGTCATTGGGATTCTCTGAGCTTGGTTGTTTTCTTGCAAACATTTTGTTACCCAGCTAGGTAACATCTTCAGTGCTAGAATGGAATGGGGTTTGCCTGATTATCACAGTATTCAGAGAACCCCATGGACTCCACATTATACATTCTCTTCAAGGGAAAAAAAAGCTGGCATCCTCAAGCTTATTGTGGACCCATAAAAGCTGTTCTGTTTTCTTTTAGCAAATGGTTGTTCATAGGAGTATGTATCGAAGTCTATCTCTTCCATGTGAGATCTTGTGGGTGCTTAGGGTTTTTTGTTTTGTTTTGTTTTAACTTTGAGGAACTTAAAGGGAATGGATAGGGAAGTGCTTACAGTCTAACTCAAAATATGATGTCTCTATATGTTAAATCAGCTGTATTCCACTAATGCAAAATTTGAAATATTTTTACTATTTGCCCATTGGAAACAATGGAAACATGTTTTTTGTCCTAGGGTCAGAAATTTAGGTGGGTGGCAGTCCATTCTGAGTGCTACTTACCATTCATTCTCTAAAAAAATTGGTCAAGAAGTTTATTTTAAAAAAACACGTACTCATGTGGCAGAAACCTGACTGATTTTATGCTTAACTTTTGTTTCCATTGTTTGCTATGTGAAAATATAGATACAGATACACATATAGATATATCTTCCTTCCATTCTTCCTTTGGTCAATTTTTCTGAAGTTTGGGAAGTAATAACATTCAATGTGGAATACTACTCCATTTATTTTTTTCAAGTTCTGAATAGTTATTCTGACCATTGAATGTTTCAAGCTCAAAATGTTTTGCACATATAGTTCAGGAAACTGCTTTGGTGCTCTATGAAATAAATTTGTCAGACAAATTTCAGGCAGCTTCCCAATGGAGAAACTCTATTTTCTACATACATCTTTAGGAGGATGGTGGAGATGGAAAGATAATGTGAGGGATATTAACAGCCTTTTCATTATTTCTGCAGATGTTTCATTTCCCCTTATAAATAGATCCATGCTAGATTCTTCACCTGCTGCCATGCTGTCAGAGAGTTTGCCCAGTAATACATTGTGAGGTTTTAGAAGGCCAATGGAATACTTAAGCTAAGATATTAGAACATTTGATCTGCAGGCCTTGACATGACTGTCATGTCTCAGAACTCTGTATGAAGACACAGCTGGGCCTGGAATGTTATGCACTATACAAAGCTCCTTCCCTTTTACCTTCCCTTTAAATACTTTTCCATTCTAACAGAAACACAAATGATTCCATTTAGAAAGCCTAGAGAGAGAAGATACATGACAGGAAACAAATGATGACAAATCATCCAGTGCTTGAGAGAGGTCTCTCAGCCCATGGGACTGGCATTTTATTGGATGAGACTAATGATGCTTAGATGCCTTATTATCCACACTAGTTTTTCAGATTCTTTATCTTATATTTTACTCTGTTGAAGTAAATTAAATTTGCTAGGTAGATCTGAACTGAAGTAAAGCAAAAGTCACCATCGAGTAATCATAACACACTTGAATCTTAAGCCTGTAGGCTTTGCACTTTTCCCTGTGGCTTCCACTGTAAACCTGCTTTGCACTGAGCTGCTTATTTTGTATAATTATTGCTGCTTGAGAGAATATTATTTTCCCAGGGGTTGCACTTAAAGCTGAGATTTTAAGTACTTCACAGATTAATTATTGACAGACGGAAAGATGATTTATACATGACACTGGTTCAAACCAATACTGTAAATGTTCCCCTGAAAGAGAAATTAAAAAAAAAAAAAGACTCATTGGAAATTATATGGGGGAATAAGAAGAAGGGTGCACCTTCAATGATTGGGAACCATGAAAAAATAGGGCTGCTGTTGCTGTTGCTGTTGTTTTTGGTCATAAGCCCTGCATGCAGTATTGGGATGAACAAGCCTCCCCTATCATCATATAAGAGCTTGATCATTTGCCACAATCACAGTTTGCTTAGTCTCACTTACAATTCAGTAGCAGGAATAACAAAAAATGTTCATAGCAAAATGTTAGCCAAGCCTCTTTACTCAGAGTACAAGCTAGCTCAAGAAAGACGCTAAAACTGCACTGGGCAATCTTCTTAGACTCAGAATTCCACAGGGTATTTCCAGACATGTACAGGATTGGAATGAAAAGTGGATAGAAACTAAGGCAGTGTGATGCCTGTGCTTGTTTCTCCCTGATTAATTTCAGTATATCTGTTGGGATAGATTATCTGACCACTGCTTGTTTGTTCTGTTTCTCACCTGTGAGCCTTGCACAGCGGTAGTTTCTAATCACTCAGTGTTGAGGAACTGTCCCCCACAATGTGACAAATACCTGAATTCTGAAAGTTAAAGGGCTGCTACACAACACTGTTCTTCAACCAGGCATATTTATACCACTGGTAGTATGCAGTAGTAATTCAGATGAGACACGGCTCCCCTCCCCAAATTAGGAGAGAGCACATGAGAGAAAGAAGAGCAGAGGAGAGCAAAGCAGCCAATATCCACTGGAGTACACTGAGATAAAACAAACTGATTATCTCAGTATTATGTTTCCTGGAATCCAAGCAGCCTTTGAAATTATTGAGTTTAGGAGGAAAAATAAACCCCACAGCTTAGCATAAGATGGGTATCTCTAATTATTTGGATATATTTTTGGTATTGGGCTTAGGGGAAGACTATACTGAAAGTGGCAAATGCTGCTTTAGCACCAATTATCTTGGTGGGACCTAGGTTATTTGACCAAGGAATTGAGGCTATAAAGGTAGCAACTTCTAATCAATGAACCTTTTCTCAATGTTTGTACAGTTTATTACTGTAGTTTTAAAATGGTCTTACACAGCATAGGTAAAGAGTAAGTCTCCTTCATGCTGACTTAATTCCTTATAACATCATGGATACATCCATGTAATTTTCTGAAATGGTCTGCCATGACCTTCTTCCAGGAACTTTTTTCAACTTCCAATCTAGCTGACAGCACTGAAATTGCTTCATGATTTCCTGTCCAAGTACAGGTAGTCCCCAGGTTAAGAACGCATGGTTTACAGATGACCCATAGTTAAGAATGGAACTTATTGTAGCAACATTTGAATTAAATACACAGTGGTTCGAGTTAAATGCACAACGTTCCGAGTTAATTACACAATGCTACTTATACAGTATTATACTATAATACTGTTCCAGCTTACATACAAATTCAACTTAAGGACAGACTGTGGGAACAGAACTCATTCTTAAACCGGAGATTACCTGTAATAACTAGGTGTAACCCTGCTTAGCTTCTTGAAATAGCCAAGGTCAGTTAGATACAGCCTTGTAGGTGGACTCTCTGATACAATAGTGGTGGAAAAAGAACTCTTCAAACAATTCTCATGCAAGATTACTGCCAGCCCTATTAGTTTGTAAAGAAATGCTGCTGTTTTGTTTTTCAGATGGATACTTTGGAGTTTCTGGGAGATGAATTCAGTGGAATGGCTAGGTGTCCTTATGATGCAAAGCATGCCAATGTCGCACTGTTCGCAGGTAATAGAAAAGAAGAAAAATATACTCTTTTATAATGAGGTGCTTAGAGTAGTTCAGTTACGCTCCTTCCTGAGATACGTTTATGGGAGGTAGGGGGTGAAATTATCCATTTATGGGGCATCACATGGCTTGAACTAATTAGTTTATAGTCAAATAAATAAACAAACATGGGATTCTCACTTTTGAAAATGATTTTATTTTCTGTTGTATGCTTACAGTGGCAAAGCATACTAATGTAGCATTGAATCAGAGTAGGCAGAAATTTATTTTATAAGATACAATGCTTTATCTTAGCTGTTATGATAACAAGCTATTATATGTGGCTTCTACTCTTTCATGGCTAAAATAGAAAGGAGAAAAAAGGAGAATCCTGGTGTGATTAAGCTTCTTGATGTTTTGTCACCAGCTGAGGCAAGGGAGGAGACTGAAGTGGCAACTGTGGATTTAATCATGATGTATTATGCATGCAAGGAAATGCAATTAACTCTTAATTTTTTTTGCAGTAGTTTAAAAACATGAGTATGTGTTAGTGGGGTTAATTTGGGCCATTGATTATAGAATGGCATTTTAGAATTTTGTTCTTTATAGATTTTAGATTAAATTGTCTCATTACTGAAATTCTGTTAGCATCAACCCTTATGATCCCATCTCAAAATAGCCATAAAATATTCAGTAGCATTGTGGAAATAACCTCAAATAACTATTGGGACTATTTTTCACAAGCCCTTGCTCTAGGATAGCCAGTGCTGTATTAATATATAAATGCTCATATAAAAATGCACTTGACTCATAAAAGTATATTAAGTCACAAAAAAGTAAAGCAGGAACTTTACTTTCACTCCCAGTCTTGCCAGGTTGATTTACTCAACTGCTCATATGACCTTCTTCAGCCTGGCACAAATATGTTGGACTACAGATCATAACAGTGGCAATCCTGGTTAGAAGATTGGGATTTTTGGTTCAATACTCCTGGAAGTCACCAAATAGAAAAAGGCTGGTGCACAGCATTGCTGGTTATATAAGATAGGCTTGGGGCAGCGGGGAGGGAGGGTGATATTCAGCAGGGCAGGCAGGGATGGACTCCAGAATAGAAGCTTAGATAGATGTAGGCAGAGATGGGTGAATAACCAGGGAGCAGCACATGATGGAGAAGCAGCAAACACCTCTGGCATATGTATATGCTGGGACCTATCAGGTTTCATAAGTCGCCAATGCTGCATTATTTCTTCTTAATTAGAAATAATAGTCGAGTAAGAACATAGTTATACAGATATTCATTGTATTATATTCACTTTCTTTTCAAATGTATTGTTTTTTCCAGCCAAAATTATGCAACATTAGTTCTATGCTTCACAACCGAATTCAGACCTATGTTTTAAGGAGATGGACATAAGAGTGTTAAGTCCCAATTCTCAAATTATCTAGTTGCATTACTAGGAACATATCTTGATACATTCTATTGTTATGATTAGATCAGGCATGAGAAATCTGCAGCCTGCAGGTGGAATATGGCCCAAGGAATATATTCTTTTTCACTCTGCCTCCTTTCTCAGTGCTGAGAAGGGGAAGGGCTTCTGATATCCAGACAGCTGCTGACTGCATGTAAAAATAGGGTATGCAACATACTTCAAATACATAATTTTCAGGCTCAAAACACTCAGTTTCAAGTTTGAAACAGTTGTTTCATGTTCAAAACAGGTGGTTCCAGCCATTCCAGAAGTGTTTCAAGCTCATATTTCTGTATGTTGCTTGAACTGGAATTGACCTTCAGAGTCCAAACAGTTTAGGGCCTGGCTATCTAAAGCAGTGTTTCTCAACCTTGGAAACTTTAAGGATGCTGGTGGGGGAATTCTGGGAGTTCTGGGAATTCAAGTCCACGCTTCTTAAAGTTGCCATGATTGAGAAACACTGATTTAAAGGACTGTTACATACCTGCTAAATTGCAGAAGAGGTCCTTCTGAAGTTGCCCTGCTGCCAGAGGCCCATCCTTTTTGCACATGGGAGAGGGCCTGTCCTACATTGCTCCCAGGCTATGGATACTCTTCTTTGGGAGTTGCATTTGGATCCTGCTCTGTAAAGATGTATTTCTTCAGCCAGACTTTTAATTATTAAATGATTTTAGTACTGTAGTCCGTGGTATCAAAAGCTGATGAGATATCAAGGAGTATAAGAATGGATGTATTATCTCCATCCCAGTTCCACCATAGGTCATCAACAAGTGCAACCAAAGCTGTCTCTGTACAGTATCCCAGCCTGAAACATAACTAAAATGGGTTCTGTGCATTTACTGTACAGTCTGAGCACCTTTTCAACAACCCTCCCTAAAAAGAGAAGGTTGGAGACAGGATGATAGTTATCTAAAATTATTACGCCCCAGAACACCCTCTTGAGGAGAGAGTATACCACCATTTCCTTCAAAGCCAGAGGTGCCACCTCCTCCCTCAAAGAGCCTGACACCACATCATGGACCCAGATTTCAGATAAGGCCTCTACACTATCAGCAAATGCAGTAAGATAAATATATTGATGTTTCACTATCCTATCACCACAAGATAATCCCTAATATGAGCTGTTAGCCCTTGTTCAATCAGACTGGCTCTGAGTCTTCCTCCAACAACATTCTGGGCCTCTTTTCTGGAGCTTCATTTTCCAAGTAAACCAAGGTGGGCCCTGGGATTGGCAGAAATACAAAGGCCACATAGAGGTGATACAGTCCAAGTCACCAGCTGCCTACGTATTCCAGGCAGCGACTAAGGCCTCAGCTGAGCTGCCCATGAGATTGTCAGGGAAAATCCCAAGCTCCCTTTGGAAATGCTTTGCGCCCTATCTCACCATGGGAGAGGATGATATCGGTGAGCTGTCCATGGCAACGGACTGATGTTAATGTCCTCCATTACCAGATCACATTGCAGCTCCCCTGAGACAAAAACATCTAATGTGTGGCCACTGATATGCATCAAGCCATTGATTACTTGGAACAGATCCATGGTTGCCATGGAAGGACTACTACATTGCCAAACTCAACACCACCAGTTGGCAAATTGAAACCTCTGAGCACCAATAGCTTCAGGGACTCTATTGCCAATCCAGCAATGGAATCCAGCAGCACAGGCAGGGAGGCAGGGATTACGCTGGGCAGCAGGAAGGGCAGTTCACCAGCAGCAATCTCAACTGTTCTCTGGAGCCCAACTTCAACCAGAGCGCCCTACAACAGTGTCCTCCCCCCACCCATGGGGTTCTCAGCTGATGCAGATCCTGAAACCTGGGTAGTCATAATTCCAAGAGAGGCACACACCCCTCTGTGTCCAGCCAGGTCCTGATTAGGCATGCCAGTCACTATTCTCAACTCTTATGAGGTCATGAATGAGGGCAGGCTTATTACATATTGAACTGGCATTTCAAAGCAGCAGCTGGAGCCCAGGGCCATCACAGATCCAATAACTAGGCATTCAGATGGAAACCAAGGGCATGACAACAGGTCCACTTTCAAGCAGCAGACCCAATGTCCCCCAGTGCGGCCTACCCCCAGATTCCTGCCACATCTTCCTCTGCCTGTCACTGTCCTGGAGTTTTTCCCTGCCCTCTCAGCTCCCCCGACCCCACTCCCATCTCTTATATCATCCTCCCAGGCCAAGGATAATAAGGCTCTTGTTCATTTTCCATCCACACCTTTCCAGAGTATGTGGAGTCATCCCTCTCTTTAACTGCCTGTGAATATCAAAGTGTAATGAATAGAAGAATATTCATTTAATAGTATTTCTTTATTTAAAAGTAGACCACTAGCTTTTGCATCAGAAAGTAGTATTGCTTAGGTTGCTGAAAACAGAGCAATGTTTAAATAGTCTATGCATCTAATTAATTATCAACTTGTTAATCTAGGATTAATCAATTTTGCATTTTAGTTTACATTCGCAAATGAGAACTATTTTATTGTGTGGTTTTTATAATGTTGACAGAATTTTCATGCCATAAGACCCCATGATTACTTAGCAGATAGAGTTATACTACTCTTTCTCTTGTTCCCCACCCCCCATTTCCAATTTCACCCCCAAAGAGGGAAAGCTGTATTCTGCCACTGTGACAGACTTCCTTGCAATAGATGCGGTCATTTACCGGAGCCTTGGAGACAGCCCAACTCTGCGGACAGTCAAACATGATTCAAAGTGGTTGAAAGGTAAATAAAGAGCTACAAGAAGAAGGGGAACATTTTGGATTACACTCTTGGGTTCTCTGTAGACCTTGCTGTCTTATTTTACTTACTTTTACTATGCTTCTTCAGAATCTAGTCCTTTAGTGATTGTTCAAAGAAAAGATGTTGAAAGCACAAAGAAACCATACTTTATTTTTGCAATGCATTCTGGCAGGTAGAGGCACTAAATTGCCTTTTTTTACAGTACATTTGTTTCACTGATTTTTTTTTTCTCTTGAGTTACTAGGTATTCATACAAAATCACAAGAGCCACCAAAATGGATAGCATCCAATTAATTTTTTAAAGGCTAGATATTTCACCAAAGATAGAGGACAAGGAATGGGTAACAAGTTATTTTAGAACAGTGATGGCACCATCAGCTCTTCCCTCTGATGGGAGTAGGTAGCAATCAAGGCTTTGTGGAGTGTAGAGAATTTGTTCTGCAGTGTTAAGATACATCAATAAAAAATAGAATATCAAAACCTCCATTTTATTGTCAAGAAGTAGTGAATGAGTGCTGCTGAATTAGGCAATTTGTATGTTCTCAATAACCTCATTGTTAAGAATGTTGCCATTCATTCTTTTCCCATGGCATTATGAATGAATGCCACGTAGCATTCTGTTGTTGTGAAAAGGGGGGCTTTTGCTTGTAGACAAAAATGCAAAAGAGAGAGAGAAAGGGCACGGTCTGCAAATGATGTTACTTCCAGTTTTTTTCTTTCAAATTATTGCATTTGTATAGGCAAGTGAGTTTTTATGACTTCAGTTTGTGACCATGTTGTTAATTCTCTTTGATAAGAATAACCCTGTGTCTGCAAATAAGGAGAATTGGAATTCCATCTATGGAGTAAATTATGCAAATGAAATACTTGTATCTCTGATTTATAGGTCTGCATAATTTATTCTGCCATCTGAGTTAAGGATTCTTTTTCTCATGGACAGGGGACAAACAAGGGAAGAAGAATATATAATTTGGGGATAGATCAGTTGGGACAAGAATAAAGAAAAGATGCCATTGAAAATGCAAGGCAAACATTTGATCCCCAGATGTCCATTAGGAATGGGGTTTTTCAGCTTATCTTGCTACGATTTACAGATGTTGAACACTGTTCACATGTTTCCAATTTCTTCCCTAAATTTATAAGAGTTAAAGAAGATATCTATAACCTTGTGAGTGTTTTTCTAAATTCCCACCAGTTTCTATTTTTACTATCTTCCTGTGTATAATACACTACTAAGCCTCAAAATTTTTCATATTTCATTTTAATCATTTTTGTGTTAATAATTTGTCAAGGCAATGCACTTAATTTAGAGTCTTTTGTAGTCTTCATTCTGGACCATACAGTATCCTGGAGGTTGGGCAATAGGAGTCCTCTCTTTCATTCTAGACAGAGATTAATTTGCTTCATCCTCCAGAAAAGACCCTATTGAGTGAAATTCTTATCCATGAGTCTGGTACTAGTTGTTTACCATATCAGTAACTTGTGAACTCCCTACTAGTCATTTCTAGTAACTTGAAGGAGGCGGTGTACAAGTTGTTGGTTGGAACTGGTGATTGTGTTGGTAATCATGTGAGAAATAGAACATTAGAAATTTAGAACTAAGCAAAATTTAGAACATTCTGTCCTAGTTCTCAATCATATAATCATTTCAACACCATGTACATATATACATGTGTGTATGTGTTTGTATGTCTGTGGTGCACACAGATACACATAGGTGAGCAGGTGGATCTAAGTGAATGTTTAGATAGATTATAGGATATTTAATGGCCCGGCCTTCATTTGGTCACCCATTCACTGCCAAAATTAGAATTGCACTTGAATATTATATTCATTGCTTCATTACAGCCAACATAATTCTTAAGGGTATCTAAGCAAATGAGGCATTTTTCGGTTTCTGAATACATAACTAAAAGTTGGAGTGATAGATGGTATCCGTGTTCATGCTCTTTTCTTTCTTTTCCTGCATGAAACTAACTTATTTGCTTCTGTCTGACCAGTCTCATGCCTAGATCCTGTTGTTTTATAATCGGCCTGTAATGTAAAATAAATACTTCCTACAAAAACAGAAGATAAATACTATCCCAGATTAGATTGATTTTGTTGTATGATAGAGGTTTTCATATTTATGAGCACATGTTGTCTTTCTTTCAGAACCATATTTTGTTCATGCAGTAGATTATGGTAACTATATCTACTTCTTCTTTCGGGAAATTGCAGTGGAATATCACAGTATGGGAAAGGTAAGGGGAATAACCTTGAAATGAGAGCTATAAATCACAATGACAAGGTCACTGTTGTAAGAAAGATTCTGCTGTTAGAAATGAGGCATGGTGTTACCTTGATATAAAACACCTTTCTCTGTGGTGGAGTACAAATCCATAATGGCTAGGGATAGTGGGAGTTCTACAAATCTGAAGGGCACCAGATTAGGGAAAGGCTAATATAAAACATTCTGGCTTGTGATGACAACAATTTTTTTTTTTAAAGTACCCCATTAAAGTGTAAAACATATGGCAAATTGATTTAATTCAAAGCTCCAAATAATCATTACAAGACTGACTTTAAAGCAAGGGAGCAGCTGCATTTGAAAGACCTTCATATGAGCAACAGAAGTAAATGAGAAGAAATTCCAGTCTTGCCATGTGATAAAGCACAATGAAAGCCTTTACTGAAAAGACGTTTTAAGGAATATTTCCACAATAAATGTATAAAAAGGCTTACAAGGTTAAAAAGGAGAAAGCATGAATAAAAGCTTGATGAGTCTTCCATATTTTTTAAAATAAAATATGCTGGGGATATGGGACTCTGGCTGGCAGTATGGGCCACATGGATTGCAAATACAGAATGTCCTTTTGTTTGTAGGAAGAGAAAGCTGAGTGGCCTGCATAGAAATGAGTTTTACATGGGCTGAGAATGAATCTCCTGAAGGATTTATGGCTGGATGTGAAATGTCAGAAGCTTATCTTTCATAGCACACAGTTCCAAAGCTGAATTTTGTTCTGTTTGTTATTTGTCACAGATTATAGGAAACAGGAGATCCAATTAAGCACCCAGTTCTGCCAATTCTGTCTTTTTAAAGAAGGAAAAAACAGAATTCTTGTAAAAATATATTACAGATTTTTTATTCCCTTTTCCGCATTGCAGGTAGTTTTCCCCAGAGTAGCTCGGGTTTGCAAGAATGACATGGGTGGATCTCAGCGAGTGCTAGAAAAGCAATGGACTTCCTTTCTGAAGGCACGATTGAACTGTTCAGTACCTGGTGATTCGCACTTCTATTTCAACATACTGCAGGCAGTTACCGATGTTATCCATGTTAATGGCCGGGACATTGTCTTAGCAACTTTTTCTACCCCTTATAACAGGTAATCATTTTAATAGAGGGTGGCTATTTTCAACCCACTTGATAACATTGCCATAAATAAAGAGAATCAGATTATTATATACTAACTCACATAAAATATGAGTTAAAGCATGTTCAGCTTTACTTTATAGTCAAGAATTTTGTGTGCTTTCAACTTGTACTAATTTGTTGAGAAGAATAAATGAATGCGAGTCTATCTTTCAGCATATAAGACTTGTTTGCTTCCTTCCCACTGGGAATGCATGTTTCTCCTTGTACCCATTAGAAAAATCTTCTATTATTACTAATTTGCATAGTTCCTTTTCTTCTTATTGTTGAGTATAGGGTTTTCAGCCTGTTCTCCTAACATTTCAAAATGATTTGAAAAGCCAGAAAAAGTATTTGGTAATCCAGGTTGGAGTGGTTTCTTTTTATTATTATTATTATTATTATTATTATTATTATTATTATTATTATTATTTAAAATACTTCTACAGTACTTGTCAAAATCTTCAACTGCATTGCTTACCTGCTTGTTTGTTTACTTGTCAATAGGGAGTCTGTAAGTAAATCTCAGGCTGCATAAGCTTTGAACTCACATATTCCTTGTTTCCTGTATTGTTATCTTTTGTACACCATAGAAGGCAATTGATAACATCTGCTTCCAAATTTGAATTAATCACAGGCCATCTTGCGTGACATTAAGGCTCTAAGAACTATGGTTTGCTAAGCCTTGATTAGAATAGGTAATGATCACAGATTACTACTTGTTTGAAATTGGTTCTCACTACTTAAAATTTAAACAAACTACACTTTCACAAATTAAATGTCATGGGAAGCCTGTTGTGTTGGTCTACTAGTGCCTAAAATAGGAGAGAGGAGACTGGAAGTTCATTCAGATGCTGCAGAGCTGCACAACATTTTCACTTTGACACATGTAAAATTTGTGAGCTTGTCAAAAGCTGTATGGGGCCTTTGACAAGGGTGTAAAGTAAGAAGTATATGTATCCAGAATAAAAAACATGCTTTTAAAAAAATCTGATCCCATTGTTTCATAAGATGATATCTGTTCTACCATTCTAGTCTCTCTTCATGCAACCATACTTCAAATCATTTTAACCCACTTCTTGAACACTGGCAGCATATGAAAAGGAGGGGGGGGGGGATGCCATGAGAAGCCAGAGTTTCCTTTGAGGATCCCACCTCAGATTCATAATCTTTCTGAAGCTGTCTCCACAGTAACCATTTCCTCCAAAATATATATCATGGTTTCATTCATCCTTTCCAGATACTCCAAACAATAGGGTTCCCAGTCTGTTTCTAAAATGAAAAATAGTGGCTAAAACATACTGCAACCCTGATGCACATATTTTTGCTCTTCATGAAAAAAAAAAAAAAATTGTACTGTTAGAAACTGGTGATTTCTTACAATTTTGGATGGCACTATCTTTGGGAGTTTGCAGAAGTAGCATCTGAACCATGGATTACAGGTTGACCCTTAAATTCATTAAATTGGATCAGTAATATATTTCATTCAGGATAATTTGGTTCACAATTTATAATAATGGCAAGATCAAAAATGTATATGATTATGCATCTTGGGTTTTTTTTCTTAAATATGAAAGAGAATCTTTGTGAACCTCTTCTTGTGCCAGCTGCATCTACATTTGGAGTCTATGTATCATACACAAAGGAGATATGCTAATTTGTGATGTGTAAGAATTAAATTGCATGAATCACTGAAGCTTCAGCTCTAACCATTTTACATAGTGTGTGAAACAATTCTCAAGCATGTCTGGCACAATTCATTGCGAGCATCCTCTGCTCAGGCACTATTAAAAACAAATGGAGTTTGTAGACAGAACAATGCATTCCTGTGCAGGCCTCTAGCAGATTGTACTCCTTGTGAATCACAGGGAAATAGAGCATGCCAAGGAAAATCATTCTCCTTCCTCATGGACATGAGTTTCCTTCCTGCTAATGGATATGCCTTTCTTGTACAACACCCAGCACAACAGATGGCTTGAATGTGGCTATGTCCTTTGCTTTCTGCCATAGTACAACCAAAAAATTAAAATAAATGAAAGTGATTCTGACATCAGGTAATAAAAGGCTTTGAAGGCATTGCCTTATCACTTAAGATTGTGTAAGCACTGGTATATTACCATATACTTTTCATTTATGGAAAGATACTAAGATCTCCTGTTCCTACATTCTCTGGAAAATTTTAGCTAATTAAAGTAAATTATGGCTGAGATCAAATCTCTTTCTTTTCTCATGTCTTCTATTACACAAGACATCTGAGGGAAAAGGGAGGGGTTGGTGTACTCATACACCATTGCATGTTGGCTACCTGAAGTCAAAGGATGACCTCAGCAAAGTTAATGGTCGATCTCCTGTCATTTTCCATTGGGAGGAAATTCAGGCAACACAGCATAATAGGTCCTATTGACAACCTAATTAAAGCAGCTGCTTTGGGAATGATTAAGCCAAGAATTGAAAATACAGCCAAACACAAGAAATACACATATTTTGTTTGGAAGGCAATCATTGTTCAAAATTAAATGTATTTAGCCAAAAGAGGGCAGAGGGAAAAGAAGAAGGATTAAAAAGACTTGGTAGAATTGGGTCTGACATTCTTTAATGTTTTCCTTGCTGCATCTTTAATTAATCACAGATTTAATATTCTTGCAGAGTTTCATTAGTAATATTATTTCTTCAGTGCAACTTATCAGACAAGTCATTTTTCCCTTGATTTCTTGCTTTTAAAGAACTTGCTTTCCATCTGGAGCTGTTGCAACCAGCTATTATTGAAGTAGACTTCTAACCACTATTGTATTTGTAAACTTTTGGATTCCAGCATTTTGTCACATTTTATAAATTACATAGATGTTTGGATATTTGATCTTAACTCACCTTCATAAATAAGAATTATTTGACATAGAGCCAGATTGTATGTATTATCTGATGAGAAGTACAGTATGTAGCTTAAATCAGACACAAAACTAATATAGTAGATTGTGTAAGCAATAAAGACAGATCAATAAATAATTCATACATGAAAACCATTGACCAAAAAAACAAAGCTTTTCCAGAAGTGTTTGTGTAAGATTGTAATTATATTTGATGATTACTATAATTATGTTACATGCAAATAATCAGAAAATCCAAATTTAAATTGGACTGGGAGTAAGATGAAACTGCATTTGCTTCTTTACAGTTGACTGAATTAAGCAAATCCCTGTTCATAGGAATTCAACCAGAAACATCCAGGAAAATGGAATGACACTCACAACTTCAACAACCAAATAGGTTGAGACTGAGCAATGTGCATCCCTCTGCAAAATATATCTGCTCCAACACCTGAATGCTTTCTAGAATGCAACTAGATAACCACTGGGGGCTCAGAAAGTATCACACTGAGCATGTGTTCAATTTTCAACATGAGGTTCTTCCAGAAAGAGGGTTATAACTTGATAATACAGTAATTTCTTAGTTCAAGTTACCAGAAGTATATCTCAACATCTTTGGAGTCATCAAAATTATTGTTGTGTGCTTTTACTTTTTTAAAAAAAAAATCTTTTGAAGAAGAAAACTGATAGAAATTGGCTGCCTGCTGAATGTTTCAGTAGAAATGTCTTCATGGAGCAGCCTTTTACTGTCAATACCCAGAGGTTGCAAGATTCAGAATTGAATGGCCTATGACAGGAAGGCTTCTATGCTGCATGTTTCTCAGACCAAAAAGAAAAAAGAAAAATGCATAACTTCAGAATGAGTAACTATTTCTGGAAATGTCACATTGCAGCATCCCTGGCTCTGCTGTCTGTGCCTACGATATTCTCGACATTGCCAGTGTATTTACTGGGAGATTCAAAGAACAGAAGTCTCCAGATTCAATATGGACACCAGTTCCCGATGAAAGAGTGCCGAAACCCAGGTACATTTCTCTGCTAAGCGCGCAGCGATGCAAGGGCTAGAAGTTTGGTTTTGGTTTTCATTTCATGGGAGATTTAATATATAGTGTAAATACAAGAGTTAAGAAGTGGAGGCAAATGCAAAAGCAATCAAAGTGTGACTCATACAAAGGCAAAAACTAAGACCTCTCACCCTTGATAAAGGATTCGGTCAGGCAAGTGAGAAAAATTATGGTAAGCAGGCAACCAATCTGTATAATTCATTTTTAGAAAATAAAGGAAAGTTCAGTATTTTCCTAAGAAAAATATAAAGGTAAGAACAATGCCTCAAGTGTAGGTTATTCTCAGCCATCCTCATTAATAGGCAGAAGCAATAGGTTAATTGCTTTAGCAATAGAAGGGATGGTCTGCAAACCTGTTGCTTCATGGGGAGAGAAATTTTTCCCCTTTTCAAGCTCTGCAGTTTATTATTTGTGCAGATGTCTGCCCCCAAAACACTGCCACTGCACGTGCTTTAAAACATAGCCACTTTATGCTGTTGCATAGGTCTTAACATTCATATGCAGTCAAGCAAAAGGAGGTCAGAGCAGATGCAAACTACTGCTATTGTTGCCCCATGTAGCAATTCTTACTCCCATATCGTAGAATCATAGAGTTGGAAGGGACCTAAGAAGTCATCAAGTCCAACTCCTTGCACACTGCAGGATTCACTACACCATCCATGATAGATGACTATACAACCTGTCTGAAAAACTCCAGTAAAGGAGAAGAAACCACTCTGTGCAGTAACCTATTCCACTGACAGCTTTTATTGTCAAGAAATTTTTCCTAATCTCTAATCTGTATCTACATCTTCGAAGTTTCATCCCATTAGTTCTAGTCTTGCCCTCTGGAGCGAGTGAGAATAAGTCCGAACTCTCTACAGTGTGACAACCCTTCCAATCCCCTCTCAACCTTCTCTTCTGAAAGCTAAACATACCTAGATCTTTTAACTGTACCTCATAGGACTTGGTTTCAAGTCCTTTCACTATCTTGGTAGCACTTCACAAAGCAACAAATTAGCAGCACTGCAGGCAATCTACCTCCAACAGCAAATTTTGTTTATGAGGCTGTCCACTGCTCTTCCCCAGCTTAGGTTCTAGGAAAGGGACAATGCCAATACATGGAATGTCATAAGATATGATTCAACAATAGTAAAAATCTTTTCAAGGAGCATTTATTGAAACAATACTGTCCCAGGCATGCAGCTATCTTTAAGCTTATGCCCCAAAGAAAAATATTAGTGGTGGGGAGTGAAATAAATTATAAAATCCACTAATCTCAGTCACTCCCTCATGATCAGAGGAATCAACCACTGGTAATATTTGATACTGCACTCTCAACAACTCTGGGAAGCTCACAACAATCAAACAAAGAAATTGCAATAAAAATTGATAAAAGATAAAAGATGGCAAGCACAATGAAGCAAGGGGTCTCACTCTCCCTCACAAAAGGCCTGGGTGAAGAGCCAGGTCTTCACACTTCTTCTAAACAATAGCAGAGTAGGAGCCATCCAGATCTCAGAATGAACTTCATTCCAGAGGGCAGGTGGTGCTACAGAGAAGGCACACTTCCAGGGTCCTGACAGATGACATTGTTTAATCGAAGGAACCTGGAGCAAACCAACCCTGCAGAATCAAAACAGCTGGGCAGATGCTATGGAGGATAGGCAGTCCCTTAAGTAACCAGGCTCTGTTATCCAGGCCAATGGTTCAAATTCCATGAAAGAAGGAGTTATTTTTCAGTTTGTTTTAAGTTCAATCTTAAAGCATTTCCAATGGTCTTTTACCTGAGAATAATTCCCCAAATGTTATCAACTAGGCATCACTCTACCTGCCCTCTAAGTATGCATCCCATAGGAATAGCTATGCTTTTCATGAAGGGTAAACATTCTCCCTTATTACAACTAAAAATTGGTGAGACACGCATCAGATATATCATGTCCTCAACAGTTCTTTTTCAATGAAAATTCATATTTTTAGGAATACAAATAATGTTTAATGAGTACAAACTGAATGAGCATTGGATCCTGTAAGATATACATCTAAAGAAAATTGGAAACAATTTCTCATTCCTGATGCTTGATTTAAGCATGTAAATAAATCAATAAAACTACATGCAATGGGAAGATAGAGAAATTTATAGAATCAGAAATACGATTATTTGCAGGAAAATTGGTCACAAATTCCAACTTGATTTCAAATTATACAAGCCCTGCTACTTCTTACTAAACTTACCAGAACTCATCAATAAGGTGATATTTAGAGGATACATTATTTTGAATGTGTTTAAATCTTAAGGACCAGTGAACTGTTCCCTAAAGTAATGAAGGAACTTGCTACTAATCTGACCAAATTTTGATGTAATCTCTGAGAAATCCTAGAGAATGGATGAAGAGCCAGAGTACTGGAGGAGATTATTTGTTGTCTCTATTCATAAGGGGGAAAAAGAAGGATACAGGGAATTGCTGATCCATCAGTCTGATGTCAGTATCAGAGAAAATTCTAGAGCATATTATTGAAAACAATGCAGGCGTTACCAGAGGTTAGCATGGATTGTCAGAAATAAGCCCTGTCAAACTAGTCTTAATTTTTTATTAGTTAACCTCCTTAGTAGATTATTTAAATATTATAACTGCAATATATCTTGATTTCAGTTAAACCTTTGACAAAGTACCTTATCACATTCTGATTACAAGTTAGATAAATTTGGGCTTGATGGCATAACAATAAAGTAGATGTATAGCTTGTTCTCAAGTGGTCCCTCATCAAGGTTAAGTTCTAGGTTCTGTGTTCTTCAACATTTATATTAATGACTTTGATTAAGAGGTAGAAGGAATGTTTATCACATCTGCAGGTGACACAAAATTAAGTAATACTCTAGTAAGTAATTAGTAATAAATTAGTAATACTAAGTATTACTAAGTTATTTGTAAGTAATGCCCTAAATGATAGAAGTACATTTCAGAAATTATTTTGCTAGGGCAGAAACATGGGCTGAAAAAAAATATGTTACCAAGATGAGCTGAAAGAAATCGTACAGACAAATACAAAGTTCTTCACTTAGGAAACAAAAGTCAAATGCACAGGTACAGAATGAGGGATAATCGGTTTGTCAATAATACTGATTGAAAAGGTCTTGGAATAGTTGACTACAAATTGAATGTGTGTCAGCAATGTGATAAGGCTGCAAAATAGGCAAATGAAATTTTAGGCTCTGTCACTAGAAGTATAATTTCCAAATAACAAAAATAACAATTCCATTTTATTCTGTGATGGTTAGACTCTTTCTTGAATATCATGTCCAAGTGTGGGTACCACATTTTAAGGATTCGAACAAAATAGATTACGTTCAGAGAAGGGCAGTGAAGATGATCAGGGAACTTGTACTGGAGAGTAATCCAAAGTGAAAGAACTCTTCTATTAAGGATTGTTTTGTTCAAATTTGATATCCGTGTTTAGCTACATTAACAAAGTATTTGCTTTTATATAAACAATTGTCATTTTGCATAGAATTGTTGAATCGGGATGTTTAAAATCTTTGCAATTCATTTTAAGATTACATATGTATTCTTATTGTCAACTAAGAGGAGGTTACTCCTTTTTTCTTCTAATTTTTAATCATTTTTATTGTTATTAATATGGTTCATTATAAAAAAGGGGAAACAAGCAATACTATAATACAGACAAGCAGAAACAATTTTTTTATGTGTTGCTTTTTATCCTTGACCTACAGAGAGGAACTGCTCTTTTTGTTCCACCTTTTCTTTTTCTTCTTAGGATATTTACATTTGAGTCATTTCAGTTTTGCCCTTCACTGATTCGAGTGACAACCTCTGCAGATTTCTCATGCACGTACACTTTTTGTTTGTGTAATAATAGAGAGAGATCCAATACTTCAATCTCTGTAAAACTGCAACTGTATATATCATATACAGTTATAATTTATAAAGAAGACAAGTTCTTTATATTTAATTCAAATGTATCTGTAGTTAGTCTGATGGGTGGATTTGCAGTGGGTTTCCCCACCGTCCCACCCCCGCAGTTCAAAGTCGGGACAATCAGCATTACTATAAACAAGAAGAAACTACAAAACAGGGAACCAACTGGTAGGAAAACAGATTCTTCTGCTGCCAGCGTATCACTATTTTGGTTCAATTGCCATAAAAGTATGGGGAGATTCCCGTAATAAACCAAGCACATTTGTACTGTAATCCAAGATAACACTGTGCCTTCTTAAAAGGCCCTACATATTAATGCTTCCAAGGCTCAAGTTTTCATAAGCATCAAAAATAAAATGTTCTTGGGAACCATAGAAAAGATGATTCTTTTCTTCCCTTTGCCCTTCAAGCTGTGTTTTTAAAGCAGCTTGATTTTACACTTCCAGTAAAAAAATGTAAAATTTCCCTTCTACATTCAACATAGTAATCTTAATTCCAAGAGCTTTACAGAAATAAATCTGAAATATACTTTAAAAGTGAGCAGAACATTACCAGACTATGTATATGTTTGTGGGGTTCCATATAGATGGATGAACGGTGAGCATATCTTTACAAACTTCATAATCTGTTAAAGATATGTTTATTAATAGTCCTACATTTAGTATTCATGGAAGTGACTGCTGAATGCTAAATTAGCATCATGGAATGTCTAGACCAGTGTTGTCCAAACTTGGCCACTTTAAGATGAGTGGACTTCAACTC